GAGATGGATAAAGGTTATATAAGAAGAAATATCCATTAGAACAATCAAGAATTGCTAGTTTCACACAAAAATTATATCTTTCTGTAATGAAGATAGAACACTAGTTGTTATACTTCCTCTTGTTGTCTCGCCCTCTTCAATTGTCTTGCTCTCTCTAGTTGTCTCACCCTCTCTTGTTGGCTCACTCTCATCTATTGTCTCGCTTTCTCTTGTTGCCTTATTCTTACTAGTTGTCTCGCCCTTACCTGTTGTCTCACTTTCTCTTAATGAGGATATAGAAGAAATATTTGTTGATCTGGATTATGAATTGGTCACTAAAGAACTTTAGCAAATACTAGATATGGTTATGAAAATCTATAATCACCAATTATATAGTCAATAAACAAGATATCTTTAAACTACTAAAATTTTTTATATAAGCCATATTTTAAAAAACTGGCCAGTAACTTTATATAACTTATTGCAAAAAACAAAGTTACTGGTCAATTTTTTTAAATACATCTTATATAAAAAGTTTTAGCAATTTGAAATTTATATGTTTACAAAATTGAAACAAATCATATGAGTATTTTTTAACATTTGATTGGCTGATATAACATTAATTTGATATTACAGACAACCGAAAATTTTAATGATTGTATTTCTCAAGCAATTTTTTATTACTATATCATATTGTAATTATTCAAATATTTTTTTATTACTATATCATATTGTAATTATTTAAAGAATGTAAAATTATATGTAGGTTTTATTGATTGGAGTGTTTTTGTTTTATTCTATCTATTATTTTTGTTGTAAAAAAAATTTAGATCTATTAAACCTTTTAGAACTCTTGTAATGAGATTATGGTTATTTATAATATGCTATTATATATGATATATAAAGCTAGCAAATGTCTTTTATAGCGAAGAGACCTGTACCATAGTAATTAAAATTTATTATATTGAGAGTATACTAACTGCTAGTAAATATTAGAAGAGGTTTTTTATATATATAGATTGGTTTTGAGATCTATTTATTTTATGAAATAAATATTAGCAGATTTTAGATTTTATTAAACAAATATTAAAATATAATAAATCATCGTATAATTTAAAATTTAATAAATTATATATGTTTAATTCAAATTCATTAGATAAATTGTTTTTATTAAAAATAATAATCTGTGAATACATCTTAATCAAAATATTAACTTTCCTCTGACAATCTCATATTTATTGTAATATAAGTATAAAAATAATGGGTGTGGTGCCTTAGAGAAGTGGTCAAGGTGTCACCCCCCAAGCGGCAGATTGATAGTTCGAATCCCACTGGTGACGTTTTGGAGTTAAATCTGTATTCGGTAATTGTGGCTTCTGATCGGTTGGGCTTAAAACCTGTAATCCTGGTTCCACCATCTTGAATGGGAGCTTGCGGGCACAATGATGTACTGGTACTATATCGCAAATCCAGGAAACCGGAAAAAACCCACAAGAACCTGTTTGGCAAGTCCCAAGTTAGGAGGTAGTGAAAATTGGTCCATAAGTATAGGCCAAAAGAAGGCTGGTACTACGATCGGAACGAACCTAATAAGGGCAGGTAGCTTCAGTTACTAAATCCGACAATAACTACATGCTTGAGACATGGAAAGTTGTTCGGTAGGCAGTTGGTACGAGGGTAAAGTAGCCCTTAGACCGTCGAAATAAAAGGGTTGGGCCTGGTATATCTGCAATATGTAGTAAATCGGGTTAGTAATAGGAGGATCATAAGTCAGAGGGTTTAAATAGGCAACTTCTGTAGTTGGGTTGTAGGTATGGCAGCTAGTGTAGAACCTTAGGGCAGACTACTTAAATTAGGCACCAAAAGTGCACATGTGGCTAGTTGTATCCTCGCTCATGTAACAAATATTACATTAACTCATAATAAAAAATCAGCCATAGTACCCAGCCTTTAAATGGGAAAAAAAAATAAATAAATAAGTATAAAAATACTAGTTCTCTAAATTAATCATAATAGAAACAATAACACAGTAGTATCATTACTTTTGTTATATCGCTAAACTCTATTCTTGTCTTATTATAGCTAACATATCATTATCAGCATATCTTCTAATTGTCACAGATCCTAATATTATACCACAGCTAACAATTGATCTTTTTTGCAAGATTAATCTTTAAATCAGAAATTTTTTAATTATTCTTCTTAAAATGTGTATTGAAAAAATATTTTGAGTATTGTTTAGAATAAATTACACATACAAAAATCTGATCAGGATTGTGATCTTAATCATTTTGCAATTGTATGTGATTTGTTTGAAATTCACAATGCACAAAATATTCAAATCGTTCACTTCAAATCACTCTTGAGTAGATTGCAGGTTAGATATCTATTCATTTTTGTCTTTTATTATAATTGTTTCCTTTATGATCTATTTAAAATTTGACTTTTAATCAAGAATATAAAAAGAGACTTAGGCAATCTAAATATAATTTAATAAAAGTTAGTATTAATTATTATTAAAGTTTTTCATTACTGTTATTATAAAATGACACGTTCTAATAAAAGAAAACAACAAATAAGTATATTGTCTAGAAAGCAAGGTCGTTATATATTGCAAGAAATAATACAAGTAGAAATGATGTATGAAGAAGCACACCAAGTAGAAATAATATAAGATGAATTATTATAGGAAGATAAGACTATGCAAGAGGCTACTATAATGCCAAAAAAGATTGTGGAATTAAGAAATAAGAGATCATCATATACTAGAATATCAAGAACAATAGATATAATTTGTTTATATATATAATAATAGAAAGTATTGTTTATACTGTATTTAATATATTTAAATATAGTGGCTCATATTACAAGATATAAGCAAAGCATATAATTCTGTTAACCTAGAACTATTTCATAGATCTCTCAAATGTATCAACATGTCACTTAAGCTTATACATATACTCACCAACCTACTAACAGACTATCATAATAGAGTTATTACAAATCTTGGCCTTACTAACTTATACTCTGTTAACAATAGAATTGACTAAGAAGAGACAATAACACCCTTGTTTTGACGAATCTATTATGATCCTCTCATCAGTAAAATTGCAACTCAATTTACTGGCTACACATTAACTGCCTTATAGCAAACTTGTCTGCATCTTTCTCGATATCAAGAAATTCAAACCTCTATTTCTGTATTTGTGTACATGGACGATACACTTTGGATTGCCCAATCCAAAGACAAACTCAAACTAATCACTCAAACTGCAATGTCATTCTATCAAATGGCAAATATCCAGATTAACTCTACCAAATCAGTATTTATTTGCAACCAACCTACAAACTCTATTATCTTTTGCAACTTCTTATTAAACTCAATATCTCGTAATTAGCCTTTCAAGTTTCTAGGCTGCTAGTATACCCTTAACAATAAACAATCCCAACAAACTGAACTTATAAAAGATGAAATATTCCAACTTATCAATATTGCTAGCTCTAGGAAAATTACTAATAAGCAAATTGCTTATATTATTAATACTGTCATTACTCCTACTTTGGAATATAGACTACACAATATTGTACTTTCACAAACTACATGTAACCAAATCTCTTCCAAATACCTTACTGTAGCTAAACACAAATCACATCTTGCCTGATCTATTCCTAATAGTACTATGCTTAATTCGTAATCCATAAGTAAGGGAAAGACTATGATTAATGATCGGCAGAGTGCATTTCGTATCAAAACAATCAATATCCATAATCTGAAGCCAAAATTAAAATTTCTCGATTTCTGTCAAGTTAGCATCTTTTGGTTTTCTAATAAAAATTGCAGAGAAAATTTTTCTCTTTCTAATAGTGGTAAAATCATCAAAAGTAATCTAATAGATCATGAGATATTGCCATTTCCTCTTTGCGATCATAT